TCTCGTATATTGTTTTGTTACTGTATTGTCTCATGTACTGTCCCCCACTATATTGTACAGCGCTGAGCAAACTTTTTTTGCGCTATATAAACACTGTATAATAATAATAATAATATGTTCAGTTCCCCCCAACCCACATGGAATAAAAATATATTTGAAATATATTTTAAAAATATTCTTCCCAAATATACTGACATATATTTGAAATGCTACAATTCTGGCCATATTCAATATATTTCAAAATATATTTCAATAAATAAATATATATATATATATATATATTTATACACTGCATGTTGAAATGTGTTTTTATTACAAAATATATGAAAAATATTTTTAAAAATACATTTTAAATATACTGTATGTCTTTAAAAATACAAATCTACATTTTTGGAATGCATTTACAAATATACAGTCAGGTCCATAAATATTGGGACATGGACACAATTCTAACATTTTTGGCTCTATACACCACCACAATGGATTTGAAATGAAAAGAACAAGATGTGCTTTAACTGCAGACTGTCAGCTTTAATTTAAGGGTATTTACATACAAATCAGGTGAACGGTGTAGGAATTACAACAGTTTGCATATGTGCCTCCCACTTTTTAAGGGACCAAAAGTAATGGGACAGAATAATAATCATAAATCAAACTTTCACTTTTTAATACTTGGTTGCAAATCCTTTGCAGTCAATTACAGCCTGAAGTCTGGAACGCATAGACATCAACAGACACTAAGTTTCATCCCTGGTGATGCTCTGCCAAGCCTCTACTGCAACTGTCTTCAGTTCCTGCTTGTTCTTGGGCATTTTCCCTTCAGTTTTGTCTTCAGCAAGTGAAATGCATGCTCAATCGGATTCAGGTCAGGTGATTGACTTGGCCATTGCATAACATTCCTCTTCTTTCCCTTAAAAAACTCTTTGGTTGCTTTTGCAGTATGCTTTGGGTCATTGTCCATCCGCACTGTGAAGCTGCGTCCAATGAGTTGTGAAGCATTTGGCTGAATATGAGCAGATAATATTGCCCGAAACTCTTCAGAATTCATCCTGCTGCTTTTGTCAGCAGTCACATCATCAATAAATACAAGAGAACCAGTTCCACTGGCAGCCATACATGCCCACGCCATGACACTACCACCACCATGCTTCACTGATGAGGTGGTATGCTTAGGATCATGAGCAGTTCCTTTCCTTCTCCATGCTCTTCTCTTCCCATCACTCTGGTACAAGTTGATCTTGCTCTCATCTGTCCATAGGATGTTGTTCCAGAACTGTGAAGGCTTTTTTAGATGTCGTTTGGCAAACTCTAATCTGGCCTTCCTGTTTTTGAGGCTCACCAATGGTTTACATCTTGTGGTGAACCCTCTGTTTTCACTCTGGTGAAGTCTTCTCTTGATTGTTGACTGTGACACACATACACCAACCTCCTGGAGAGTGTTCTTGATCTGGCCAACTGTTGTAAAGGGTGTTTTCTTCACCAGGGAAAGAATTCTTCGGTCATCCACCACAGTTGTTTTCCGTGGTCTTCTGGGTCTTTTGGTGTTGCAGAGCTCAACGGTGCGTTCCTTCTTTTTAAATGTTCCAAACAGTTGTTTTGGCCACGCCTAATGTTTTTGCTATCTCTCTGATGGGTTTGTTTTGTTTTTTCAGCTTAATGATGGCTTGCTTCACTGATAGTGACAGCTCTTTGGATCTCATCTTGAGAGTTGACAGCAACAGATTCCAAATGCAAATAGCACACTTGAAATAAACTCTGGACCTTTTATCTGCTCATTGTAATTGGGATAATGAGGGAATAACACACACCTGGCCATGGAACAGCTGAGAAGCCAATTGTCCCATTACTTTTGATCCCTTAACAAGTGGGAGGCACATATGCAAACTGTTGTAATTCCTACACAGTTCACCTGATTTGGATGTAAATACCCTCAAATTAAAGCTGACAGTCTGCAGTTAAAGCACATCTTGTTTGTTTCATTTCAAATCCATTGTGGTGGTGTATAGAGCCAAAAATGTTAGAATTGTGTCGATGTCCCAATATTTATGGACCTGACTGTATGTTAAAATGACTTTTTTATATGCTAAAAAAAATCTGAAGAATATATTTAAAAACATATATTTAAAAAAAACTTTTTAACATGTAAAAAAGTCATTTTAACATATATATATGTTTATTGAAATATATTTTGAAATATATTGAATATGGCCAAAATTGTAGCATTCAAATATATGTCAATATATTTAGGAAGAATATTTTTTAAATATATTTCAATATATTTGTCTTCCATGTGGGAAGCATCCCACTAAATACTTACCTGAGCCCAATCTCAACCCAGCACTGTGCCCAAGTGCAGCAGCGCTGCTCTCTCTCCTCACTGGACATCAAGGGAGCAGTGGGAGCCATTGGCTCCTGCTGCTGTCAATCAAATGCAGTGAGGATGGAGCAATGGGAGGGCCAAGCTGTCTGTTGACACACACAGCCTGACGCTGGATCTAGAATGCACATGTGTTACAATAGGAAGCAGCTTCCTATGGTGGAACACAGAGAAGAAGAGGAGCTGAGAGACCCAAGAAGAGAGGAGGATTGGGGCTGCTCTGTGCCAAACCATTGCATACAGCAGGTAAGCATGACATGTTTGTTATTAAAATAAAACTTTAAATTCACTTTAACACTTTTGATAAAAATTGACATTGCAAGAGTACCACTGCCCTAGGAGTGCAAACCCCCTAAGGCTGGCCATACATTATACAATTATCTGGAGATTTTTGGTTTAGATTTACCAAAAACCATATAATAGGAGGACAAACCTAAACAAACACTTTCAGTTGTATCCAATTAGGCAGGCCCTTGCACTACACAGTTGAAGGTGAATCTAAAGGAAATTGGGCAGAAAATTGGAAGATAATTGTATAATGTATGGCCAGCCTAAGGCTGCTCTAAATGTATAAGAATATGGGATAAGGAGTGTTTGTCAATCAAACAATTAGAAACTAATAAAGAACACATGGGTGCAAGAGCAAACAATTCACACAAGAAAAGCCAAGCCTAAAATGGCATCAGTTTTCTCTAAAAAAAAAAAAACAGTAAAGCTGGCCATAGATGCAGCGCAAATTGGCCTGTTCAGCAGGGAACAAATTTAACTCCATGTGTGGCACTTCCGTTCATCAGAAGATGATCTAATGACATCTCTCAAATGGGCTTGTAAAACTTTTCTTGATCAGGCTGCAGCTGCTGATCTGTGTATTCTGACAGCTTAGAGTCCACTCTGTCCTAATATGTCTCAGCAGGAAATGCAAATCAGTGCATAATTTGTTAGACATGCATTTGTTTTGAATTTTTTGTTGCTATGCTGTCTCTCAGTGCTACTGAACACCTACCATTCGATTTTTAGACTGATCATTTCTTTGTAAATGGGCAAACATTCAAAATAAGCAACTTGTTGCTGGGCAGATTAAAAGCTGCAAAATGCATACAAAATGCTTAAAAACACATCAAATATGCACTGCATGCTTTTTCTACAGCATCTCTATTGAAGTCTATTGAACCAAAAAATGCACCGTTTTGCATTTAAAAAAGTTCCAGACCCTTTCCAAAAATGCAGTGGCTGACAAAACGCATAGATGTGAATATGTCCCATAGGAAGCCATGCTAAATGGACTGTAGTGCATTTCTTAAAGCACTAAAAAAACAAATTGGTGTGAGCCACGCCTTACATTGTTATCAAAAAAAGAAAAGAAAATGTAAAAACAAGAAAATGTATGGATGAGTAGGCATTGGTGTCTGCTACAAAGGTATTGAAAAAACTGGAATCAGAAAGTATAGCCACCAACAATTACAACATCTGCTCAATAGGACATGTCATCTAAAGCATAGACCATCTGGGGGTAATTTACTGAAACCAGTGCACATACAATCTAGTGCAGCTGTACATAGTAACCAGTCAGCATATAGGTTTATTTTCAAAGCTTAATTGAACAAGCTGAAGTTACAAACTGATTGGTTGCCATGCACAGCTGTACCAGATTCTGAGTGCACCAGTTTTAGTAAATCTCCCCCAATATGTTTGGAAGTACCTGCCAAAGTTATGTAGGTTTTACCTGTTAAAAATGATAGCAGTAAAAAATTATATAGTTTGTTTCTAGTGTATTTTCAAAGATACCCTAGACATGTTGGTAAATAAAGCATTCCAGTTTTCTTAATCCAGTAATCAAGAGAAATCTAAGGTATGCTACATATACACTATATTGCCAAAAGTATTGGGACGCCTGCCTTTACACGCACATGAGCTTTAATGGCATCCCAGTCTTAGTCTGTAGGGTTCAGTAATAAGTTGGCCCACCCTTTGCAGCTATAACAGCTTCAACTCTTCTGGGGAGGCTGTGCACAAAGGTTTAGGAGTGTGTCTATGGAAATGTTTGACCCTTCTTCCAGAAGCGAATTTGTGAGGTCAGGCACTGATGTTGGATGAGAAGGCCTGGTTTGCACTCTAATTCATCTCAAAGGTGTTCTATAGGGTTGAGGTCAGGTCTCTGCAGACCAGTCAATTTTCTCCACCCAAAATTCACTCATCCTTGTCTTTATGGACCTTGCTTTGTGCACTGGTGTGCAGTCATTTTGGAACAGGAAGGGGACATCCCCAAACTGTTCCCACAAAGTTGGGAGCAGGAGATTGTCCAAAATGTGTTGGTATGCTGACACCTTAGGAGTCCCCTTCACTGGAACTAAACAGCCAAGTCCAACCCCTGAAAAACAACCCCACATTATAATCTCCCCTCCACCAAAGTTTACACTTGGCACAATGCAGTCAGGCAAGTCCCGTTCTCCTAGCAACTGCCAAACCCAGATATGTCCATTGGATTGCCAGACAGAGAAACATGATTTATCACTCCAGAGAACACATCTCCACTGCTCTAGAGTCCAGTGGCTGTGTGTGCTTTACACCACTGCATCCAACGCTTTGCATTGCACTTGGTGATGTAAGGCTTGGATGCAGCTGCTCAGCCATGTAAACCCATTCCATAAGGCTTTCTACGCACTATTGTTGTGGTAATCTGAAGGACACACAAAGTTTAAAGGTCTTTAGCTATTGACTCTGCAGACAGTTGGCGACTTCTGTGAGCTTCAGCATGCGCTGACCCCACTCTGTCATTTTACATGGCCTACCACTTTGTGGGTGAGTTGCTGTTGTTTCCGGTTGCTTCCACTTTGTTATAATGCCACTAACAGTTGACCATGGAATATTTAGTAGCAAGGAAATTTTATGGATGGACTTATTGCACAGGTGGCAACCTATCACGATACCACGCTTGAATTTACTGAGCTCCTGAGAGTGACCCATTCTTTCACAAATGTTTGTAGAAGAAGTCTGCATGCCTAGGTGCTTGATTTTATACACCTGTGACCATGTAGGTGATTGGAACACCTGAATCCAATGATTTGGAGGGGTGTCCCAATACTTTTGACAATATAGTGTATGTTACTCTTAGATGACTAAAGACAACACCTTAATTTAAATTATGATGCCCCTTATACAGAATCTTAACTAAATCAGCTAAACCAGTTCATATCAGCAGTATTGCACATTAATTGGTCTAGCAACAGTAGTATTATCAGGCAGTTAGTGCAGTAAAAGTAGTAATGTACCAGATGTGGCACACATGTACTGTTTTTCTAATAATCTGATTAATATCACAGGAAGACATCAGATAAAATAGATCTCTTTGCCTTGCGCAAATTGCCTACATTGGGAATAAAGCCTTGTACACTTTATGAAAAAAATCGAACGGCAGATCATTCAATTTTATACGAAAGTACATATGATGTAGTTGGAATGGTATAGACTTGTAAGAAACTCCTCGTCCAACAAAGGCAAACATAGCTACGTACTAGCGTAGTAGAAGGGGAACTGTAGAGTTGTTCCATGCATCTGGTCATGCATATTTTTTACTATTTGATTATTTCGGTACGAATATTAAATGAAGATCGGACGTTGTGATCACATACAATAAAAATTTTTTGGCTAGCTAGTTTTTGTTGTCCAAAAAGTTGAAATCAGCTGTTGAAAGCTCTATACTAACAATCAGATAATCACTTGGTTGTTTGACTACGGAAATGTTCTTATCATTTTCTTATCTCTGTGTAAGGGTCTTAAGAGCCTTGCATTATAGTAAGAGACCCCACAGCTGTGATATATGGCTGTGCCATTACAGGTGTCTATGTTTTTTTTTTAAATTTTTAATCCAGAGTACCAAATTACATATTTTATTATATCACACAAAAATGCTTTTCTCTGTGTTAAAAAGGAATTTATATCTTGTATTGTTCTCAGTTTTAAGCTACCATTAGAAATAATAATGGATGTCTTTGTTCACTGTATTTTATTCTAAGTGTCACTTGAAAGTTCTTATCTTATTTGAAGTTTTAGCATTACAAGCCATATTTCCACTTTCTCTTCTTTCACAGCAAGTGACCCATCTAGCTTTTGAAGATGAACCGCTGCCAGTAATCTGAAACACAATTCTCTGGGATTTGCTAATGCTTGAATAACAATAGAAAAAAGAACCCAAGTTAACCTATGACCTGTGCAATATGAACTGCTAACACCTACAGGGATAAGTGTATTGTCATCAAATCACCTGTTAAAAGCTTTTCGTGCAATTTCTTGGCAACAGAAAAGACTTTACTTGTTGTAATGTCAGTTGATCGCTATTTCTGATAAAATAACTATCAGTTTTTAGCCCTGACTGTGGATTAACTTCTGGTTTATTATTTGTTGTTGGCAGTGGTATTAAGGTGATGGTCCCAAACGCATTAAATAGCTTAAAAGTTCATCTGCCCAGCACTTTGCATTGAAACACAGATTACGAAGATATTATGTTCAGTGGCTAAAAGAACAAGAAGCATCATTCTGAAGAAAGTCTAATTTTAATAATTTTACTAAATAATTGTCATGGGCATATAGTGTTTCAAACATATATTGAGATAGTCATACAAGAAATAATTTGGCAGAAAAGAACAAAACAGGGCACACTCTCCTCGTGCATTACCGTAATAATGTGAAATTTATTTGGAAAAGCAAAAAACATACTCACAAGCCAAAAAGGTCATAAAAACTGAGACAAGAAGTCAAAGGTTGCCAGTCATAGACAGCATGGGTCCTTGGGTAAAGTGCTAACATGTTTCGGGAGTCGAACTCCCTTCCTCAGAGCAATAGATGAACTTCTTATCTCAGATTTTATGACCTTTTTGGCTTGAGAGTATGTTTTTTTTTTCCAAATACATTTCAGATTATTACGGTAATGCACGAAGAGAGTGCGCCCTGTTTTGTTCTTTTCTGTTAGCATCGAGATTCCCTGATCTACCAAGGGCGGCACCTCAGCAAGTGCAAGATTCCATTTTCAGTGCAGCAAGAGAGATTTGAGCTCCGGTTTCTGGTTACTGTAAGAAATAATTTGGATTATCTAGTTAACTTATTATGTTTTGTTAGAACTTTATTAGGGAAAGCCCTGGCAAAAGATTGAAGCATGTGCATGGCTTGATATGCAATATATGGGGCATGCTGTTGTCAAAGAATACTGGACCTTTAATGCAGAGTTACAAGGTTACAAGGTCTAAGTTTTCCTTCTGGATTTGTGTCAATAAAGTGTCTGCAGTCACCTTTAACAACGGTAGAACTGTCCATGACAGGTCTGCAGGAGGTGACAAGGCACACGATGGATCTACTTCTGTTTCAACCTGTGACCCGTTGGGTGGGATTGTAGGTCCACAGAAAGAGAAGTCAACGGTTTTGTTGCAACCCCAATGCTCTGAAATAATGTGAAACCTCCAGCAGTGTGTGCTAAGACTTTCTTAAGGAAGAAGAGTGCTGAGATTGTTGTGTCAGTCCTTGGAGAGACTATCTTTGAAATGTTTGCCGTAAAGTGCGAGTGACCCCAGTAGAAGTGCCCACTATGTGCTTGGGGAAATACTTCCCTCTGTTTGTTGGCCCTATGCAGTGAGTAAATATTATTAAAGTGTTAACCCAGGACCCTGCATTCACTATATCTGGGCTTCCACAGTACACAGGACTTGAAGATGCAATTATTTTGGTAAATATAAACTGCTAAATACCTTTTCTCATCAGCAGTTAGAGCAGTCTGATGACTTCTATCAGTGTCCAGCAGAACACTGGTTAAAGCTTGTAGGAGGAGTTTTCATTCTCCCCTGAATGTGCTATGAGGCTACAGGACCCCTGACCCTCTGTCTGGACAGTGCTGATTGGCCTGTGTTGATCACATGCACTCTCCCAAGAAGAAAAAAAACTCTCTAGCAATACACACCAAACTGTGCAGATTACCCCCAAGGCTCTGTTCTATCAGCAGATGAATTGGGAACAGTGGAAGAAAGGGAAGGATCAGAGAACATGGGATCAAATATCCTTTTTTACACAGTGCAGAGAATTAACCCCTTTGATTCCACAGTGAGTATAACAAGAATGCTTTAATGCAAATACACAATGATTTTACTGTTGTGGTTTTAGTAACTCTTTAAAGAATATGAAAATGATGGAGTATTGGATAATGTACAAGCCTCTGTGAGTATTACAGAGTCTTGTCATTATATGAATGTGGTAGAGGTGACCACTAAAGAGAGTTTGCAGTTTCCCCTAGTCCAGTGTCAAGTTAAACAGAGGTGCCCCTAGAATTATCTGAGGGGCCCAGGGTGCTGGAGCTAGAGAGTTTTCCAGACAACTGTGGTGCTGCTCTGGTGTGCTGCACTGTTTTCTCAAAGATGAGAATATACATGTGTTAAATAAAGAGCCACAGAAGCATTGAAGGGGCACATGGGCACTTATCCACAGACAGCCCACCCCCTCCATATGGTAATCAGCTTACTGAATTATTGTGATAGAGGTTAGAACCTGGGGAAGTCCAGGGACAATAGTTCTTTAAATATTAATAACACCACAGTGTGGCTTTAGCCAGATTACTCCACATTGGTGAGAAAATGAGTTCTGAGCAGTTGAAAAAACCCCCCAAGAATCCAGGTCTTCCTTATTCAATGATCTTTTTTGTGAAACCACAAGTGCAGTTTTAGGGGAAAGCTTATTTCCTCATAACTCCCAACATGACAGCAGAGTAAATTCAATCATTTTCTGCCTCTGTAATAACAAAGAAACCCTTCCTCTGTTTTGTTTTGCACACAGACGTTTCTATTGGAAGATTAGATTTAAATTCAACAGTGCCTATATATTTGCATACCTCAAGACACATAATCCCCAGATATGGCTACAGAAAGCCCATTTAATTGGTCACAAAATCACTTAAAAATGATTCGGTGTCCAGGGTTTCTGTTCCATCTACACCACTGAGTGTCTGTTCTGGGTCAGAGAAGTCTGTCCTTCAACTTCTTATGGATGGTCTCTGACTGTGGGTGTTGATACCTTTTCCTACATTGTGTGATTTACCATTCCCACATTCTGTTGGCAACTGTGGACCTCGCTCTTCAGCCCTCTAAAATTGTCACCTCATGTAAAACATCCACCTCAATAGCATTTGAGGTGCTTGTGTGGGTATTCTCTGATTTGACACCAGAGAAAGTCGCAGGCAAAATTATCTTCTTTTAGGACATGGGTACCCATAATGAGGATGATGGCAGAAACGTTCTAAAAAAGCAGCCAAGGATAACTCTCCAAGTGTGTAAATGGTAAATTTAGGAGAAGTTGATTTTTGCTGTTGGAGCTTGTGTGTTCCGACCCACACAGGGAGGGGGGCTGTATATTATTATAGGCGGATGGCCTGTCCCCATTTTAAGATGCGGACAGAATCTGTTTCAGTAGAGAAAGAGTCCTTGAACATGACATGGGGTTGATTTACTAAAGGCAAATAGATTGTGCATTCATTTTCTCCAGAGCTTAGTATACGTGGTAAAGCTCTGTTGATTTCCATTATCCAATCACGTGCAAGCAGAAAAGGTTTTTTTTTTTTCTTTAAGTTTCCTTGCACCTGATTGGGCTTTCTTTACAAAGTGAAACTTACCACATTTACTAAGGAAAATTAGTGCAGCTGACTTGCAAAGTGCACAGTCTGTTGCCTTTAGTAAAGCAACTCTACTACTGTGTTATTATTATTATTATTATAATACAGGTTTTATAAAGCACCAACAGTTTACTCAGTGCTTTACAACGTGAACGTTGATTTTTGGATGAATAAAAGTGGGTGAGTCCTTGGAATACTTTCTGTTTGGTAAGTCTCACAATATACTTCAGACCATGTTACGTCGGTCTTATGATATAGATTTTTTCATACATTTATTTATGTAGCACATCCTCCCTGCAGTTGGCATCAACTAGCTATTTTCTCATGTTCTCCCTACTTTATGTGCAAACACGAA